TGAAATGTAAAAAGACAGAAATCTATATTTTCTATCTCAAGGGAACTCTCGTTGACCATGTTCATGTCAAAATCCGAGATAAATGACGATGCAACGACTACTGTCAGGCTACGACATCTGCGAGAATCAGATCAATCGCTGGGCATAGTCGACCTGTGCGCATTGACAACTGGAAATACAAAGTTTGTTTTTGCCCATTATTTCACACCACTGTGTATCATACAATATCTGCGGAATTCTAGGTCATCGCAGTTTACAGTTGACTGAATTTAACGGATCTGATAAGATGCTGGGAATGGATAGTCGACCTAAACTAACTTTATCGGATTCAAAATCCACACACCATCAGTTAAAAGCTTTGCCTGTAAAACTTTAAGATGGTAATTTTGAGTAAAATGGTCCAACATATTACCTACCTTGAACAATCATCAACATCGGATATTTGTATATCACATAAACTCAATGATGTGCTGTTTCTTAACTGAAATACACAAATATTTCTAATGTTTTTTGTTTATATATATTATAAGGCAATATTACAGGTATTTCCATCTGAGCCATATTAATTAAATGTTGAATATAAGAAGACATACAAGAATACACTTTCCAGATTCTATTGGACATCATATTGAAAAATTTCTTTTTCTGAAATAAATGCTAACGATAAAATACACTGAGATCCAAACAGTATGGCGTATTGCCTTTAAGAAATACTATCATTATGTTCAGTGGTAATCAGTGGCGGCGCCAGTGAACCGGTGGTGGGTGGGGTGGGAGAGGTCATTTATCCCTCTAAAAAATTTTCTGTACCCCCAATTTTACCTCCAAGGCATTTATAGCAAAATATAAAATTTCACTTTTATACGTTTTTATACGCCCTCATGAAATGGGGGGCGTATATTGCCATCACCCATGTCCGTCGGTCCGTCCGTCCACAATTGCTCGTAAACATTCTACAAGATACAGATCTGGACGGATTTTGAAAAAAAATGAGTGTTTGTAATCACCCAAGGATGAATCCTATTGAAAATCAGAAGAATCGAAAAATATTCAGTATAAGTTATTGCCCTTGTTCTTGAAAATGCGTTAAATTTTTCGCTCGTAAGCACTCTAGAAGGGACAATTCTTGACGGATTTTGACGAAACTTGGTGTGAGTGTTCGTAATCAACAAAGGATGAACACTATTGAAAATCAGAAGAATCGAAAAATATTTAGTATGAGTTATTGCCCTTGTTCTTGAAAACGCGTTCAAATGTGAACGCTCTAGAAGGCACAATTCCTGACGGATTTTGACGAAACTTGTTGAAATGTTTATTATCACCCATGGAAAAACCCTATCGAAAATAAAAAAAATTGAAATACATGTATGTTTCATAAGAGTTATTGACCTCGTTTTTGAAGATTGAATTTTGCCTTCTATAGAGTTTTCACGAGCTAAAAATTGAACACGTTTTCAAGAACATGGGCAATAACTCATACTCAATATTATTCAGTATCGCCCTAAAGAGTTCAAAAGAAGTTTAGACTGAAGGTTGAATATTTCATACTGGTGATTGTTACTGTACTGCTAAATATTTTTATTCAAAATTAAAGCTGCTAGTGGGAGTATATTACCTTGTACATTCAATAATTTATATTTTTCAAGAATTTTCTTATGAGAGAACATTCTCAGATCGCTACATGGGAAACTGCTGCATCTTTAGTAGAACCTCGACGGTTGTCCCCCCATTAAGTCAGTCTGCCCCCTTTATACCAGTCTCGGAAGAGTGGCTTCGCCACTGGTGGTAATATAAGTCCTCCCAATAAATACAAAATAAAGAAACTTCAAGTTAGATCTTCTAAATATGTCAAGGAGTAGAAGCTGGTATAAAAGATTGTTAAGAGACAAAACTGAACGATCAATATCCCACACTATTACGTCTAGCAGTAGAGAACTGTTAAACCACTTTCTAAGGTTATGTTTACACGACATTTAAATTATCCATTTATTCCATCAAATCATTGAATTGGCTGTCACTAATTTGTCATTTTCTCAAATTAGAGAACTAGACGTCAATTTGATCGATGTTATTGATTCACAACAAAAAGTAGCAAATCTTCTATAAAGTTCTGGTTTTAGTACATTATTTTGTGACAGCCGGGGTTCTATAGAATAAGATAGAGAGTATAAAAGGAAGATCCAATAAGACAAAGAGTGAATGCATGGTGAAATATAATGAGTAAAGTCAGTCTGAAAAAAAAAATGATGTCCAGTTCAATAAAAAAGCCATGCCAAGAATAACAGAGATGTTGAGAGGCGTATTAATGTTTTAATATCCAATGTCCAGTGAAGTTATTCCGAGGTAAAGTGGAGTACATATAGGTCTACAGCGACTGCTTGGAGAATAATTTTCCAGGTGAGAATATATTATGAGTGTCGTTTCTACGAAATCTTACGAAATTCCCAGTTTCAAACTTCAAACCATTAAATGCCCCCCTCGGCAAGAATGTGGCCGCCACTCGCCCCCTCCACCTAATGTTAAATAGACACGCCACTGATTATGAATGTCAATTAGTGTCATGTAAACGTAATATATACATGATTCTACTGTTTGTTATAGAAACTGCCAGGGGAATGTATTTCTACTTACTGCAAAGATTGGTCTGCTGTAAATATCCCTGATATATCTTCGTAAAAAGGAACGTCGTCTGCTTAATTCAGAACGAGGTGGACGAAGACGACTAAAGGCACCACGAGCAAGAACGAGAACTCCCGCAGCTATCATGACTGGTCCGGCGTACCTTTCTCTTTCCTCATCCTTATAGTCCTCCAAATTCTGGAAACTCATGGAAGTTATTATTACACCCACAACCAGTAACATCATACCGGAAATGACGTAGCACATAGTATTTCCGAGAAGATATGAACAAGCATTGTTTGTGCGTGGATATAGTGCAGCGCCTTCTAGCGGCCGCCGCCACGAAATCACTGTCTGCATGATAAAAAACATCTGACCTGAAATGACATATAGGAAAGGACATCGTAGTTGAATAACAATATACATAATACTTTCCAGACAGGTCTGCTATCTGTCCCTGGCCTTGAAGAGATCGTAATCGTATTGTCTCAGATAATTTTTTTTGTAATAGGTGTCGAACATAGAATACATGAGTATAACGATGGGATATTTCTTGAACTTTGGACTCGCAGTGTGCTGTGACTTTCAGTAGAAATAAAGATATATTATAATTTTCCTATAGTTTAGGAAAAAACGTGTGTTGGTTTGATAAGTAAAAAAAGTGATTACCTTGAAAATAATCTACCTATCGAAATAACACACATTTCAAAAATGAAACATGATACAAGTCGATCTTATACTATTATCCATGTAAGACGAAATCTGCAAAATTCAATAAAACATTTGATTAGGTAATCCTAACATACCCAGAGTGGCTTATACACTTGGACCGCAAAGACCTAAGGATGAACATCTATAAACATAAGGATACATAATTTTCTTGAAAGACGCCATTCTATACCTTATTCTTATCCTGCTGGTCCATTTGCAATGATATTCAATTTCCTCATTATCCATCTCCAAAAAAGGATTCATGCATGAGAAATAGAGATCTTATTTTAGCACACTTTAGGACAGAATCTTAGTTTATATCACAATAAATGAATTTAAGAATATAAGTTATACACAATATTTTCACTCCCAATATCTAAGAAGAAAATGATAGAGCGAAGCACCACACTGAAATATTGTTCAATAGCCTGGCTCTGTAAAGAATAGAGAGAAATAAAATCCTACTTGACAAATCCGCCTAAGTCGTCATGTTGGTCAATCAAAAGAAATAATTGTTTTTCTATCCAATTGTCTTCAGATTCGTATCTAAATCGATCTGGCATTTTATTGTCGGAATAACAACATTCTCATTTGCTATTGCTATCTGATGTATAGTCATGAAATGCCCTGGGTTTACGATAATTTTGACAGGTCAAGACAAAGACCTAGGTTTCTTTCGAAGTCAATTTAATCTTGTCCTTAACCGCTACACTGACACTATTTATTCATTCTCTATTTTTCGAATAGAATACATGCTCGTAAATTAGAAATCTATATTATGACTAACTACTTCATATCCAAATAGATGGATGCAAGAAATAATTCATTGACACATTTATTGTTTTGGCGTCCGGGCATCCAATTCCGTCACACAAGAACAGAGACGCTGTGGCGAGTTCTGATCCAGATAAAAAATGAACATCCCTTTTTGAAATGCGTGCTATTTGGGAGTCTATATTCGTTTAAGCCTCGAATTTAATGATAAACTGGTTCCATTATCATGGCTTCACAAAGCCGATATTAGATTTGTCAGCTACTCCAGTTAATCCACTTTCATAACTAATTAATTTTATCCAATCCTTTTACCGATTTTCTACATAACCCACATTGTTTTTGACATCTTCCGGTTATCAAGGTTTTGCTGTGTAATTGAAGTGTTCGTTGCTTTCACCACATTCGAACAATACTCATTCTGCAAGTTCCTAATTTTTCATTATATTATTTTTTTGCCCTGATTTAGTCTTTGCTCCTCAGAAAAGAAGAAGATAGTCTTTAAACAAAACCTGGCTCATTGCTTTAAACTGTATAACACACACTTTGGAGGGCAAATTCTATCAGCATGTAATTTTTCACTTTCACAACTACTAAAAAACCAATTTTATTCAAATTTATTTAAAAGATGGTATCAAATATATACTAAACATATTGACCTTCTTGAACAGCCAAAAGAACAAATAATCTGGAATAATAGAAATATTTTGATAAATAAGAAAACAGTTTTTAACGCAGGAGTATCAACAACCCTTATATATGTAAAAGATCTAAACACAGAAACAAAATATCTCGCCTAAAACATTTAATTTGTTAAACGGTCTTAGAAAAGCATCAATGGAATTTACTCAAGGTCAAGTATGGAAGGCCATTCAAGACAAAAGTCTTCGTTTGTTATTAGTAACTGGAGCCGTCAATTTATGATTTTTCATTCGTTAATAGTTGCTGGGTCCGTTAATTTCTGATTTTTCATTCGTAACTTTCTCTGTCATTGCTTCGTTTCTCATGAACTTGTTGATTAGTAACTGTCTTCTTCTTCCATCTCTCGTGACATCGTTATTAATCACCGGTTTATGATTTATTGGAACATGCGTTATTAGTAGCTATCTCGGCCATTTCTGATTAG